CTCAGTGGGTAAATCTGCCTGCTGCCAAGCCTGAGTCCGATCTCTATAATCCATATGCTCGAAGGAAAGACCTGCAATAATTATCTCTAGTGAAACATGCTTTTAAAAGCTTAACAAAGAGAAGGAAAATATAACGTCCATATAACTTTCTGTGCAAGACAATCCAGCTCCAGCTAGCATTGTGTGTGTGTGTGTGTGTGTGTGTGTGTGTGTGTGTGTGTGTGTGTGATGAATCACCACATTCCATGGCCTCCTAAGCTCTAGATATGATTGAACTATCCAGTGTGAGACTCTGGGGCACAGGTAATCCAGAGAGGAAGAGCCTACCTCTCCCAAACAAGAAGTATATTCCACTCCCCAATGGTCCATTTCCCTCATCACAGTCAAGGTAACTTTTTGTGTTTTCTTAGTGACCTGGTGCTTTTGATTACATTGACTTCTGTCAGTTTGCTGCACCTTTGTCCTGTGATAAGGAGATAAGAATAAGAGAAGAATCGCTTCCCTCACGAGTCAGCACCAGATGGGTTAGAACTTCCTTCAGAAGAACGTCTGAAGTTCTGGATGAGTGCCGAGTGAGATGTCTTCTAGAAGGCCGACCTTCTGTGTCTCTCTGCTTACAGCGCGTCTCTGCTCAAATACCCTTGCCCCCTTTCAATAGGAACTTCAATATCCTTTCAGTAGGTTGAAATTTTGTCCATGTGTGTGCTAGTACACATGTTTACGTGTGTGGGCACACATGTGTGCATACCTATGGAGGTTGGAGGTCTACTTCAGGAGTCAAGCCCCAGAGATCTACCTCAAGGGTCCACCCCAGGGTCCTCCCCCACCAGCTAGGCTTCAGTTTTTAAAATATCTACTCTTTTCTATGTGCACCACAAGCTGAGGACTAAATATCACAGACACATGAGCCTGTGGGGACTTACCACATGAGAGCCATAGTGTGAAGTTTGGAGCCTAAGTATCTCTTACAGCCCCAGATGCTGGGACTGATTCTGAAGCCTCGCACTACAGCAGAATGCTGAAGCCTTTCGGAAGCAGGACCCAGTGGAACCGGAGTCGGTGAGGGAACACCCTTGAATAGGACAGCAAGGCCTCAGTCTCTTTGTCTTTCTCACTTGACCACAGAAGCAGATTTTCTCTGCCATATCCTTGCACCATTATATGCTCAGAAACAACATGGAAGACAGATTATTGATTGTCACCACAGAACTGTGAGCCAGGATAAACCTTTTGTTCTCTGTGACTTATTTATCTCAGGCATTTGTTACAGTCAAAGAAAATGTTGGCATAATTCAACCTTCACTTGCAGGAAGTTAGCATCACAATGTGCTAATTGCTTATGATGGTAGGAAGCTGTACAGTGAACTGTGTCTATTCTAAGTAAAAAAGGTGCTTTAAATGACTACTTTTCAAATAAAACTTCACTTCAGTAGTCTCTAAATCTTTCTCTAAGTGTTTCCATTGTGCTTGGAAAAATAGACTAATAAACATCTCCTACGAAGGTTGGTCTTGCTCTAAGAAATGAGAGTCCATACTGACGGTCTGGGGGGGGGGGTTTACTACTTATTGTAGAACTCTATACGCGTTATCTTTTTTTAAGTGTACATTTGAGCTCCATCAGATTTTATTCTCTCAGAAAAACCAAGGAACTCAAAACAGCTTATCGACAGCCACGCAGCCTTCCCACTAATCTATCAGCAAAGGACTGCATTGTTCTTCTATACTCTGTGCTTTTATACACATCATATCAACATAGCCTCAATGTTTATTATGATATTAAGCCATCATATAGATCTCTCCCTTTTGTTGTTTCAAATAGCAAGCCCCCCACATTCCAGTGGAAGATCACACACTTGAGATCATTTGGGCAGCACAAATTGGTCTTGTTGGATTTTGAAAACAAAAGCAAAAAAAAAAAAAACCCACAAAACTGGGTGTATAGTGGTGGGACTGGGTCTGGGGAAAGTAGACAAAGGGATGGTGAATGTGATCAAGTCTCAGAAAACTAATAAACATCTTTAAAGACAGCTTCCGGTTATTGTTTACCCAGTGAATTATCTGTGGAAAGCAGCTTAGAGCAAAAGTGAGAACGAGTTTAGTTTGTTGTCTGGAAGTGTCTAGACTTTAGGATTCCATATACTGTGCAGGTGAGATGACTCAGTGGGTAAAGGTGCTTGCCAACAAGCCTGATGACTTCAGTTCAGTACCCAGGATCCACACGGGGGAAGGAGAGAATCTGACTCCCACGAGTTGTCCTAGTAGTATGTTATGGGTACATTCAGGTGCTTTCTCTCACGCATGGTCTCTCTCTCTCCTCCCTCTTGCTCTCTTTCTCTCAGAAGAGTTTTTCACTAGCCTGGAATTTACTGAGCAGATTACCTGTTCAGTGAGCCCCAGAAATCTTGCCTTATCTGCTTCCCAAATGTTGTAATTACAATCACATACCACCACACCTAGATTTTAACATAGATTCTTGGATTTAACTGAGGTCTCCATGTTATTCCACCTCCTGAGCTCCCACGTAGACAGAACATTATTTGACATAAAATGAGATGATACGAGATATAATAACAATTTATGTACCAAATGTTGTGTCAAAATATTTATACCTCCTGGATTAGAATTCTGAATCAAGTGAGTTTATAGTTCCAAAGGAACACAATTTTACCAGTTATCTAAACAAAGCCTAAAGCTAAAAGCTGTAGTCTGCTCAGAGAAGACACAAGGTGAAAGTTAGGAATGGGGCCCAGGAGAAGTCTATACATTGGAAAACCAAATCACCCATAGTAGGTAAAGCAGATGCATTAACAGTAGCAAAAGACTAGAAGAGCCTGGGATGGAGCCAGAGCCAAGAGAACAGAGCTAGTGAAGATCACATGACACAAAGCACACTGTGTTTTCCCTGCACACTCATGCTGGAAGCACTCAGAGCAACCCTGTTCTAGAGGTGATAGACGTTGGCTTTGGCAATGAAGTCAGTTTTTCAAGACCCTAAAATAATATATGTGTATAATATGTGTGTGTGTGTGTGTATATATATACATATACATATACATATACATATATGCTGGAAATTTTGTTCAGGGTCAGATTTTTTCCAACTCAAACCCAGGTTTCCTTTGCTTGGAGTTATTATTGGATGGGGAGCCATTTGGTCATCTTCTCCATTATTTGTGCTTAATTCATTTCTGTGAGTAAAGAAGAATCGTTGGCATCTTGTTTTCAGTTTCTCACATTTGCTGAGAGCACAAAGCAGGGGCTCAGGTAACTGTTATCTTTTTCATGCCTTTTAATTGGAAAGACCCCTACACGGAAGACTGCATCCTGAGTCTGCTATATAACCCACCCTTGTGAACTCTCACCTCAAAGTTTGTTTGTTTTTCTCTCGTCTAGGCATTCTTGTTATGGTCCACGCTTTGCCCTTAAGTAAAGTCATACGGATGGAGATGCTTTCAACCCACTTGAGCACTGAGGGATTGGGCAAATTCCCTAATGGTACCAAAGGATGTCTGCATGGCTAGTTTAGACTAGCAGGGCAGACTGTATTTCACAAAGGCACAGTTCTCTCATGGAGGCATAAATGAAACTAGAATCTTTATGTGCATAAACATGTTCATGTCCCAGTAAAACTTCACACAGCCTGTTATTTGAAATAAAACAACTTATGCAATTTTTATGAATTGTTTAAAGATGTAAAACCATTCTTACTTCACAGACTGCAGAAACAGGCGATGGTGGGCTTGAGTTTTATCCTCTCCTGTACTGAACCACACAGCACTGAGCTTTTCTCATGGGTGAATCATTAGAGCTTCCAAGCCAGCTGTTTCCTTATGTTCCAGAATAACTGTTCCTAGCTCCTAATTTCCCAGCTCTCGATTGCCTATAGAAAGCCCTATATACTGTGATAATTTCAATTTTCCTTGCATTCCTGCAGCCCTTCCTTTGGGCATCCCAGGATGATGGAAGGTATCTCAGTCAATTAACAGGCTAGCATCTAATCTAGAAAAAGAGTGTATTGTTTCCTCTTGGTAGAATTTCATTGTTTAAACACGTTGGTCTTTGAAGAGATTTTGCTAATTAAACTAATTTAAACAACCAACATGTAATTGTTGAATAGCGTATTTGAATTTCATTCAAATGATTTTTCAAATACTTTCATTCTATTTTTTCCTTCTTGGGCATGTGTTCAAACAAGACCATAACATTGACCAGTAAATGACGAGGTAGACATAAGTGTGAATTCAAACCCTGACAATTATACGCTAGTCCTAAGATTGTGGGTACCGCACATTCTTTCTATTCGCTTGGCAAATATTCACACGTAGTAGGCACTATCCTGAAGTCAGAGCTTTGTTTGTACCCACATTAAGACAGCAAGGGATAGAACATTTTAAAGAGCCACAGGGCCTAATAAAGTCGTTTATTCCATTGTATGTGATATTTTTGACATCTGCTACTTGTGCTTCCTGACCATGGAACTCAAGCAAATAGGTTGAAATGCGCTTTGCATGTTCTAAAGGATGTGGGACCCAGTCTTTGGGATTTATAAAACAAGATGGTGATCCACACTGAAGTTTTGTTATCAAGACTAAATGAAATATCATATATAGGAATTAGCATAATTCCCAGATCATACCAAATCCTCATCGGGAAGATATGCTTGCTTTTTGTGCAATTTGTTTCTTACTGGTAAGTTTATGCATCCTCAGAAACATTGTAGCAAGTTTCTACTACAACATTTCTTAATCTTACTTAGCATTGCACTAAATTTACTTCTTAGTCATACTTTACACTGACTAAATAAACAGCATGTTCTCATGGCTGTACTTCACACTGTGGGCAAAACAGAGGTATATAAATGAAAGTCCTTCCTGTGCCTTCTTTTTTGATCAGACTCTTTTACTGCTATTATGATGCAGCTTGAAAAGACGCTCTTATAAAAATGGTATCGCTGATGCCTATTGGCTGATTTTGGAAATTTTTTTTGTGTGTGTGTCTAGGTATGACTGGTAATGGCATCTACTTCTGTTCTGCATTGCTCAGTGGACTGTGGATTGAATGAACCATATCCTTTCCCATCATGATAGACAACATAAAGACTCTCCACTTGTAGGTATCTTTATTCAACTTTATTTTTTTGTGGTTATGTACTGAGATGTGTTTTTAAAGTATAATTTTATAATGAAAATTGTCCATAGTGTTGCTAATATGAAATGTGATCAGAATTAGTCTCTCAGTTTCAGTCCATTGTCAGAAAAAGGCACAGCCTAAAATATGCCTGCATTAAATATGAGTGTCCATAGGGTACTGTGATAACTGTTATCAACCTGACACATCTGGGAAGATGAACGCTCAGCTGAGGAACTGCCTCCATCACGTTGGCCTATGAATATATCTATGGGGTATTTTCATGACTAATATGATGGTCAGAGAGTCTGGCCCACTATGGGTGCTCCCATCCCTAGGCAGGCAGGATTAGGCTGTATTTAAAAACCAACAATCCAATAAGCAGCACTCCTCCATGCTCTCTGCTTCAGTTCCTGCCTCTAGGTTCCTGCCTTGTCTTCTTGCCCTGGATTCCCTAGATGATAGACTGTAACTTATAAGCCAGATAAACCCTTTTCTTCCTCAAGCTACTTTTAGTCAGCTTTTGTCATATTAACAGAGCCTCAAACTAGGAAATTTAGCTGTTAATTGACTGTAAAAAGCCATTGGAAGATTGCAGTGTCTTCTGGTTCTTTAGTACCATATCACTACAACTTATCAATAGCGTGAGAGGCCTGCTCCACAAGACCATCTCCCAGTGTCTGGGTCAGAAGCCACAGAGCAGCAAAAGGAAACTCAGGATAGCTCTTAATCTGAGGGGAAAGACTCACACATGTGTTGTTCAGTCATGTCTCTTTATTGTTCCGCTTCTATTCTGATTCTCCTGTCCTTCTAATTCCTCCTGGCTTCCTCTCCTCTAGCCCACAAACTCTCTTCTTCCAGGAGGCTTGAAGCAATGAAACAATTACAAGAGTTATCTCTCACTGGTCAAAAGCACATCCCTAGGGTAAACAATAAGGAACCAAGCCATTCACCATGGCAACACAAGGTTTCAGGAGTAAGACTGTGATCAGAGCCTGGTGGTGAAGTACCCAATGACAAACTGAGACATAGGTCTTTTGTCAGCTAGACTCGGCAAGCATGTTTTTCTTAGGGTGATTGGTGCAGTAACCCTGGTTAGACACCTGCAACTCTGATTTTGTACACAGCTGTAAAGTTTTAAACTGATGATCTATGTACAAAAAGTCTCTAGTCTAGCTTGAACTTGATCTGAGGTGAAAGTGAGCTAATTGTATTCAGTTAGTCTGAGCAGAAGGAACAAAGCAGGTTTTTAAGTATCTACAGTCCTTGTGGGACAATAGATCTAGTTATGAAGCTTGTCCTAGTATATTTTCTACATATCACAATTATACCGCTGAATAAAAAGTCATCTTTCTGGCCACCCACAGGTATATGTGTCCATAATACTGAGCTGTAATCATGAGACTGCATAGTCACATCGCATGAAATTACACACTACAGTGCATGTATTAGGGAGGCACAGGCTGCTTCAGCAAATGTGAGCAGCAGTCTTCAGAGTCAATAGTCCTGCAGGCTTTGCCTGGACATGATGACCTTCATCAGAGAACCATTCCTCTCATGAATTGACGTCTGAACACTCATCACCTGCTGTGACTCTCATGGCCTCTGACAACAGCTGAGATAAGTCTGCATTTTAACTAGCTTAATATGTTGGAGCAGTTGGATTTTATTCCAAGAAGACATTCATGTGCTTCTGATTACCCGCATCCTATTGATGACTGCTTTATGACTAAAAGCCACTTATGAGTGAGTATATATGATATTTGTCTTTCTGAGTCGGGGTTACCTCACTCAATATGATCTTTTCTCATCTATTTACCTGCAAATTTCAAGATGTCATTATTTTTTTTCTGTTACGTAGTACTCCATTGTGTAAATGTACCACATTTTCCTTATCCATTCTTTGGTCGAGGGGCATTTAGGTTATTTCTAGGTTCTGGCTATGGTAAACAATGCTATGAACATAGTTGAGCACTTGTCTTTGTGGCACAATTGAGCATCCTTTGGATACATACCCAAAAGTGGTGTTGCTGTGTCTTGAGGAAGGTTGTTTCCTAATTTTCTGAGAAATCACTTATACTGGCATCCAAATGGGTGTACCAGCTTGCATTCCAACCAGCAGTGCAGGAGTGTTCCCTTTACCCCACATCCTTTCCAGCATAAGTTGTCATCAGTGTTTTTGATCTTGGCCATTCTTACAGGTAGGAGATGGAATCTCAGAATTGTTTTGATTTGCATTTCTCTGAAGGCTAAGGATGTTGAGCATTTCTTTAAGTGTCTCTCAGCCATTTTAGTTTCCTCTGGTGAGAGATCTCTGTTTAGTTCTGTACCCCATTTTTTATTGGATTATTTGTTCTTTCGATGATCAATTTCTTGAGTTCTTTGTATATTTTGGAGATCAGCCCTGTCTGATGTGGGGTAGGTAAGGTTTTTTAAAAGACAGCAAATTATTCAAATCAAGTTACAAATTACAAGGATACATTGAATATGCCATCCCGTATAAAAAAATAAAACAGAGCCAGGCATGGTAATGCATGCCTGGAACCCCAGCATATTAGGGATACTGAGGCAGGGGGACTTCAGACCAGCCTAGATTGCATAGAGAGTATTGGAATATCCAGGACTATATACTAAAATTGTCTGTCTCAGAAGACAGATAGATAGGTCTGGTGTGATCGCTCACTTGTTAAAGGCACTTGTGACCAAATCTGAGGAACTGTGTTTATTGTGTTCATTCTCCAAAACCTACACACTGTCTTCTGACCTCTGTACACACACTGAGGAATCTGAGACTGTACACATCTCTCTCTCTCTCTCTCTCTCTCTCTCTCTCTCTCTCTCTCTCACACACACACACACACACACACAAGAAGTGATATACAGACAGATGAATGATAGCTAGATAGACATATGCCTATCAGAGTTTGTAAGCAGGAGACCCGTGTTTTATTTGTTATTAAGTTTGGGCCATTACCACACTTCTTTGTTACTTCATTTGCTTTGTTGTTCAGGAAAAGAAACGGGGAGGTAAAGAGGGAAAATGTAGATCACATCACAAAACTAAGAGGAAAGGGGGATTTAGTTCTCACTCAGCATCGGATCCTAAACTTGTCTTGTTATGAATAAACATCCAATATTGTCCTCGGGACCTGCGTTGGATAAAATTCAGTGGTTCATAATGGGTGACATTTTCCAAATGAGTCATGATTTGTTCCCAAGGTGGGCAGTGCTGATAACGAGGGTGGTAACAGAGCCAAGCTCGTGAACCCACGCTTTGTCCATGTCTGGAGTCCAGCAGTTGCCAAACCCAAGGCTCTCGCTCACACCAGAAAGCCACAGCCTGTCCCCCGCACACGTTAATTATAAATCACCTGAAACAGCCGAGCAGTGTTTGGTTTAGCCACTTCTCGATCCGCCCACATTAGCAGCCAGAGAGTTTCGCATGTAAATTCCATCTGACTTTTAATTCAGGTCATGATATTATCTGTGGCTTCTGCGTGTGCTCTGTCCTTCTTGTTTGTTTTCTCAGCGGGGTTTTCCATGAAGAGAGCTGTGGCGGTTGTGGAGGAGGCTGCTGAGAATAATGGCTCTTGGAGTACAGTCCTTTGTACCAGGACCATAGTGTGTGGCTACTGCTTCACTGTCCCTGAGGAACCTTGTAAAGAGATGCCACTGGTCTATTTTTCTTACCGGCTCTCCCTTTCCACACTTACGGTCTCTTAGTGTTCACAGTCTTCACATTCTACTGCCTTGTTAGACATTAGGCTATAATGGAAAGAATAAGTAGGGTCATTAGTGTGGAATACCAGCCTTACTAAATAGAGCCTCATGGATTCCTACTTATTTTTACTGTCTTATTAGCCATTCTATTCATGATGTTTTCCCTAAAATTTATTTGTTTTTTGTTTTTTTTTTCTTTCTTTTTTTTTATTGAGAATAAGAAAAAAAAGTTTCCGCCTCCTCCCAGCCTCCC